TCATAGCATGTGCCATCAAAGAACGGTGGTTTGCCCCCGACATGGTTGAACACAACTTGAGCCATAATTTGACACCGAGGTTGTTAAGCCTTTAATCAAACGGTGACCATGGCTCTGATACCACTTGAAAGGTCCTAATATGGCTAGAGGGGGGTTGAATAGCATATTTAAAAATCTATAAATCAACTAGAGCAATTTGATTAGTAAGACAAATAGCGAAATACAAACTTGCTCTAGCTCTACGAGGGTTGCAAGCCACCTATCCAACAATTCTAGTTGCAATGATTACTAGACACACAACTTGCTATGATACTACTCACTAAGAGCTCTCAATCTTGCTACACTAAAGAGCTCCACTAGACAAGCTCTCAATTCTACTTACACTAAAGAGCTTGTCATAACTAGTTTGCAAGATTATAAAAGAGTGAGTAGGGTGATTATACCGCCACGTAGAGGGATGAACCAATCACAAGATGAAGATGAAATCAATCACCGAGAGAATGTCAAATGGCAAGAGACAACCGATTTTCTCCTGAGGTTCACGTGCTTGCCAACACGCTACGTCCCCGTTGTGTCGACCAACACTTGGTGGTTTGATGGCTAACAGGTGTTGCACAAACCTCGTCCACACGATTGGACACCGCAAGAACCTACCCACAAGTGAGGTAACTCAATGACACGAGCAATCCACTAGAATTACCTTTCGGCGCTCCACCGGGAAAGGTACAAATCCCCTCACAATCACCGGAGATGGCCACGAACAATCACCAACTCATGCCAATCCTCCACCGCTGCACCAAGCCGTCTAAGTGGTGGCAACCACCAAGAGCAACAAGCGAAATCTGCAGCAAAACACGAATACCAAGTGCCTCTAGATGCAATCACTCAAGTAATTCACTTGGATTCTCTCCCAATCTCACAAAGATGATGAATCAATGATGGAGATGAGTGGGAGGGCTTTGGCTAAGCTCACAAGGTTGCTATGTCAATGCAAATGGCCAAGAGAGAGAGCTTGAGCCGGCCATGGGGCTTAAATAGAAGCCCCCATGAAATAGAGCCATTGGGCTCCTCACTGCACTGAACATGGGCCGACCGGACACTGGACCTCAGCGTTCGGTCGTGCGATGTGCGCCACGTGTCATCGGCTTCAAACGCCGATCGCCCGATTTCAACGGTCAGTTAGAAATCGGCCGCGTTAGTTAGAAAGTGACCGGACGCTAGATCTCAGCGTCCGGTCGTTTCCAGTAAGGTTCCAAACGCGACATTTCACGACCGGACGCGTCCGGTCATGCTCGACCGGACACACCCTGCGTCCGATCACTCAATGTTTCCTCTGTGCGCCCCACGTCAGCGTACGTCAGCACTGACCGGACACACCCTACCAACGTCCGGTCGAAGACCGAAACACGCGCCCTCTACTGCCACTGACCGGACGCGCCAGTCCAACCGAGACCAGCGTCCGGTCACTTTCAGTGACCTTCATCTTTTCTGTTTAGGGCGCCGGTGGCACCGTCGGACTGTTCGCACTCTATGGGCGGATACTCCGCCGGTGAAGTTTCCTACCCTTGCTCAAATGTGCTAACCACCAAGTGTATCACCTTGTGCACATGTGTTAGCTTATTTTCACAAGCATTTTCAAGGGTGTTAGCACTCCACTAGATCCTAAATGCATATGCAATGAGTTAGAGCATCTAGTGGCACTTTGATAACCGCATTTCAATACGAGTTTCACCCCTCTTAATAGTATGTCTATCTAACCTAAATGTGATCACACTCGCTAAGTGTCTCGATCACTAAAACAAAATGGCTCCTACAATTTATACATTTGCCTTGAGCCTTTTGTTTTTCTCTTTCTTCTTTCCAAGTTTAAGCACTTGATCACCACCATCATCATGATCTTCACCATTGCTTCATCACTTAGAATAGTGCTACCTATCTCATGATTACTTTGATAAACTAGGTTAGCACTTAGGGTTTCATCAATTAACCAAAACCAAACTAGAGCTTTCACAGGGTCGTGCACGTATTGACTCTGACGACGATGATGGTGATGGTGGTGCTGGGACTGCTGCAGGAGGTGCTAGGGCTGCAGGAGGTGATGATATTGATTGGACAGACATCCAGTGAGATGACGAGTAGGTGTTGATCTTTTTTCTTTTCTTCTCTTTTTGGTGCTTTATGCCAAAGGGGGAGAAAATTAGAGGGGTCAACAACTTTTTTGACGCCATGGAGGTTGCTGCAGCTAGAGTCATGTTTGTATCCGTTTAGGGTAGTCTTCGTTAGATGAAAGTTTAAGTCTCTCAAAACTCTAAATTGTGAAATAATACTAATATTTGACTCTTTGTGTGGGATATGGACATATATTAATCTATGCTGTCGCTTGTGATATAATTGTGCTAGAATATATATCGTTATATGTATCACATGTTGTGTGGTGTCTGTTCTGATCTGTGCTGTTACAGCAAGTGTGGTAGTGCCGCACCCAGCTGCAACAGCAAACCATATTGTGCATAAACTGTCATTTGCATCACGTTTTACACAGTATGCAGCACCTCATAGGAGCATGGATGTAGGGGGAGCCCCATCACTTTCACTAAAATATGAATCTTGGCTTCTTATGTTAATTTGAGAATTCAATTCTCTATTCACATACTTAGAGGGATGCTCTACACCCATGGCTCGAAAGTCTCAGTATTTATTTCATATCTTTTGTAAGCTCTAATTGAGTTGTCATCAATCACCAAAAGGGGGAGATTAAAAGTACAATCAAGCCTTAATTGTGGGTTTTGGTGATAATGACAACGCAATTAGAGAACTAATGAGATTTATCGAGATGACAAGCGGGGAACTTATATTCGAGGATGCTACACGAAACAGAGGAGTCCCCAATTATAAATGTAGATGGCTTCAAACTCAAAGGAGGTTTAAATTCTTTTATATATTGAATTTGAGTATAGAAAAAGCCGTACTATAAAATGGGGCACAATGTTTAAGCTAATATATGCTACCAAGTGTTCAAACAACCACAAGCATCCTCAGATTCACAGCCAATATAGTCTACACTTCAATATTACCCTTGTTGTCTTGCGTGGTGCGACACTGCCGCACTTGAAGAGAGGCTCGCCCGACCCCTTGGTCGCGGGCTCCGGCTCGCCCGACCCCTCGGTCGCGGGCTGCGTCTCGCCCGATCCTTTGGTCGCGGGCTCGGTCTCGCCCGATCCTTTGGTCGCGGGCTCCGTCTCGCCCGACCCCAAGGTCGCAGGCTCCGGATCGCCCGACCCTTTGGTTGCGGGCTCGGTCTCGCCCGACCCCAAGGTTGCGGGCGCCGGCTCACCCGACCGTTTGGTCGTGTCCTCGTCTCGCTTGACCTCTTGGGTGCAGTGTCCGTTGAGGGCTGGGGGAATATATACTTTCTCCTTTCCTTCCCAACAGCTATATACGATTTTAGTGACCGTTGGGGGGCCGGGGGTATATATATCTTTCCCCTTCCTTCCCAACGGTAACAAACCAGCTCTCTTCTTCCTCACTTCAGCATGCCCAAAACAGAGTAGGAGCTCTCTCGCTCTCACTCCATTGTTGGCCTCAAGCAAATTCATTGATTTTCCCATCAATCCTTGAGGAAAAAGGGTCACAAACTCGATTAGGGAGCAGCTCCATTGATTTCCAAACTCTAAAGAGCACTTGATTCATGTTTTGACCAGCAGTTGTGTTTGTTACTCTTGGAGCTTGGTTCCTAGCCGGCTAAAGCGTCGCCCGTGGAGCTTGCCAACTTATGTGCCAACCCTGAGAGGTTTGTAACCATCTCTTGAAGCTAGTAAACTGACCCCTCATCTCAAGAATTAAGTCTCTTGACTTGAGAACGGGAAAGGGCTGAAAAGCTCTAAGCCTTAGTGGCTAACCTCAACAACGTGGAGGTAGACAAGTCTTGGTGGCAAGCTGAACCACGGGATAAATCATTGTGTCACTTGTGCTTGATTTACATTACTTGCATGATATATTATTGATTGAGGTGATTTTTAGAGTTTGAGGCTGATCTACTTGTGTATGGTATTCCCACTACTTTCAGCTGTCGATCTGTGATCTAATACTCTGCAGGAAGCTAAGAAATATACCCAATCCAAATTTCGTTGGGAAGATTTTGAACTGTGAACTAATCTCTTCTACAGGTGCGGCAGTGCCGCGCTCACAGAGCGACAGAGCAACAGTGCCCACAAAAGTCAAATGAACTGAATCAAAGAGAAGGTTCAACCATCCTGAATCAGAGGCAAACATCCAAGCCATGCACAAAAAATTTCAAGAACTTCTGAACCATCTAGCGTGGAACCAATGGAACAAACAGTTATCCACACTTGTTATTAGCTTGGAGGGGAACAGCTTCACTGGCAAAAATGTCCTCCCGCGCCCTTGTAGTTGCAACTTGCAACAGCAGAAACAAACAGCTCTACAATTCTTGTTTTGAACCAAAACATGTCTGAACAAACAAAATTAATGTGGAATGGTTGGCGTCCTTTCCTTTCCTATACTAAATACAAGGTACAAAACAGTGTCCAGAGTGAACCAAGTTTGAACAATCCTAGTGTACATCGAGTAGCCTCAGCTGGATTGCCTCTACAAATTGTCTGCATACCCATAGATGAGCAATTCCAGACCTGAATTCTTGACAGAATAAAATACCACAGCAGATGCTAAACATCATAGGTATGATTTGACGTAACAAATGAACAGCCTTGTCAGTAGTCATCTTCATCAAGCATTGGCTAACTCATTGCATCGGGTGAAAAAAAAGATGAGATGTGCACAGTGCACTGTCAGAAATGTAATGCAGCTCGATGTAGTGAAGGCAACTTGTGATGCACTGCTTGGACTTCTCTTTGTTTTGGTTCGGCAGGCTTTGGACTTGGATGCTTTGTTTTTTCCCAACTTCTCTTAATGAAATACATGCAATGCACATTCTTGAAAACCTTACTGCTTGGACAACTTGTGTAGCTGATGAACAGTTACTAAGAAGCATCTCTAATCTTTTGGTACATCCTCCTGTATATGGTTGCTCCTTCAAGCTCTGCATGGATTTCTCGCTCTGTCCGGATTCCCATTGGGTTGTCCAGAAGCCATCCTTCATGGTCACACTGAAGATCTTGATCGACATAATTAACATGTGCCAAAATACCAGAGTACCCATCAAACCTTTCTCTCATGTCTACAGCTACTTCTAGTACATCTGATTGTATGAAAACCTAGTATCAATACACTGAGATGTTAGCTTGAAGAAATGAAGGACATGTGTGCAGACATGGTAGACACATGGGAGATCACAACAGCAAAAACTAAAATGAAGTACATGACGAAAACTGGCCTTAGTTCAAAATTAAAATGTATGGCATGAATGCATTAGGTTATCTTGATTTAACTATCGCCATGCAATGCATAGAGCCTGCAGGATTAGTATGAGTAGAGCAATGATTATTACAGCATTTGGAAGTAACTGGTTCATGCCTTTGAGATTAGAAAGACAAAGCTTGGAATACAGAATTGCCATACCCGTCCGCCTAAACAGAGATTCTTTGTGATTGAATCGACCAATGGTTGCTGCAGAACTCTTCTTTTGTGATGTCTCTTTTTGAAGTGTGGATCAGGACACTACAAAACCAGCAAATAGACATTGAAATCTCACTTCCATTTCCATAACATCAGGAAATAACAAAGCACTGAATCAGAATAGTTATCACCGAGCTGACAGATATAACTAAAGGACTGATGCAGGAGTGCAGGACCCAGCTACACTCACCAGTATTGAAACAAGTGACAAGGGACCAGGGTATGACGATATGATTTTCTGAAAAGACACCGTTGCATTTGCAAACATAAAACAGCTGTGGAAAGAGAATAATTAATTTCAAGTGCTGTTACATTACTACACCGGTAAGAAAGAGCAAATGCTGAATTGGGATGTCAGGCAACTTACACATTCATAAGCTCCAATTCATTCACCCAGAACTGTGCCCGCTCCACCAACTACAGAAACAGAATAAGTAGAACTTCACGAAACTACAATTTTAACAATGCATGAGTACCGGATACAATTCAAAGGCTCCTATCTTAGGTACAAACCAAACCTAATTTGGAAGGCTCAGATAGAAAACAAATGCAAATTTAAATTATTTGACGCTAATACAAGGCAAAATTCTCACGGCAGACAACTTGGAGTTAAGGGGCTGGCCTCATCAAGATAATTGCATTATGCGCAATGGACCGCTCGAGACTGGCGTACACTTATGCCTCTTATGCCAAAATGTTTCAACGGCCTGGCAATCTATGTAATGTGGAACCTCTGGAAAGAATGAAACTGAATGATCTTTGAGAATTGTTTCCAAACAGCACAGTGAGTGCCTTTGAAAGCAAAATAAGACATCGACTGTGGTTCATTTTCTTTGCTTCGTGCTGTGAGAGTGTAGGCTATGTGCTGTGTCACGCTTTGGGTGGACTGCTCGAGGTTCCCAGTGCTTTGTTTCTAAAACTGTTTTGAACTCTCTTTTGTCTCTTACTGAAAGGCAGAGCACCCCTGCCACTTATACATTCAAAAAAGAAAAAGAAAAAATCCAATCCAGAAACTAAACAAGCTGAAACCTTAAAACCAATTAAAACCTTTTGGCGGATTTCTAGCCCAAGGTAGTTCTGCCTCTTGCCAGAATTCTTCGCGTGCCAAATCAAGAATCTCCCACTCCCTGGACATCAAGATTCCCTGAGAACATCCTTCTACAAGCAACCAACTGTCACAATGATAAAACTAAATCAAAGTAGCACTTGCGCACCGCAGCCGATGTCGACCATGAGGGGAAGCAGGGGGTCGTCGAACACTTCCTTCCACTCTGGCGGCTCCGTGGGCTCCTACGCACCGCAAAACAGAGCACAAATTAGTGGACAAATACGAGTGCCTGTGCTCGCTTGGCAATCTTGAAAAAATGGGTGGGGAATTAGGAGTGCTTTACCGAGAAGGATGAGCTGAGCGGGTTCACGTGCTGCCGTATGCGCATGTGATGGCCCCTCTGCGTACAGAGATGGATGAGCGGTAAGATTGCACCGGGGATAGGGACCAAGAGAAGAAGGGTGGCGACAGACGTTGGGGTACAGAGGCCGGAGGTTGAGGTCGGCGTACTCCTTGTCCACGGCGTCGGGGCTCTGCGCAGCGGAACACCGAGCCCGGGACGAGGGAGGGCGGCGGGCGGAGGGGAGGCGGAGGAGGCGGCAGCACAGGGTGGCCGCAGCCGTCCAAGCCATGCTGCGCTAGGGTCTCTCGGCTGCCGGCCTACCGCTGCCGCCGTGCAGAAAATTGGATATTTGCAATACTCAACAATGATTTTTTGGTAAATTTACCATTTTTAAGATGGGCACTGGGCATAAAAAACTGTCATATACTAGTATAAATGTTTTTTTCTCAAACACGTAAAAGAGTTACGTATCAATATATTAAGAATACTAGTATAAATATAACTTCATATCTAATATTGGCTAGCTAACAAGTAGAGTAACTGCCTATTAGCTAGAGGGCAGCTAATGAAAATGCTACTATGATAGCTATTAGCTGATATTATCTCATTTGGTCCAGCTAGGAAGATAGTTATTATCTAGAGGTCCAGCTAATAATTAGCTATTTTATTAATTGCACCTGTTTTGATCAAAAAGAGATAACTATTATCTATAGGATCCAAACGGTTTCCTTAATTTATGAGAATTTTCAATATTTGATGTTGAATTGATGCGCCTCACTTCTTTTTTTTAATTACATAGTACAATGCAAACACTCACAACGCACGCACATTCACCCCTATGAACACAGGCACGCTCACATGTCATTCAAAATTTGACATTTCATCTGCAAATTCTTTCGATTCAGGTGTTTTTCTCTCTGCTTTTCTCATTTCCTATATCCTCTTTTTATATTTAGGCCACCTGAATGAAGGGATAAATTTTTCCCCGACCTTATGTTTAGGCATGTTGGAGCACATGCGCCTCCTCGGCATGGAGTGTTGTGCAGCGCGGTTGGCCCGCAGTCGTCGCCTGTTGCAATTGTGCACCGGACTGCTTTGCGACTACCTACACGTCATGTCGCCGCGTCCCACACCAGTCTGCTCATGTCGCCACCACCACTGCCCCACCGTGCCACCACGATCGCATGAACCTATATCACCTACCCACCACCCTTGGCCATGAGGAAGGGCGTAGCGATGACGGGCCGGATCACTCTCCCTTGCAGGTGTGGCCTGATGCGAGCAGCGTCATTGAAGAAGACCTCCTGCAGCCTTGCGTCTCTCGTGGATCGTTGGCAAATGCCGAAGATGCTGCTGCCATGGCAATGCTCCTATGATGGTCTCAAACGGCCCCATTCGCGACCTTGCATAGCGTTGTTTTCCATTTAGACATGGTGTGATGTCTGGTGGCAATGAGTGCTGGGACCGACGGGCAGGTGCCAGAGCACGGAAGGCTACTTTTCTCAACGCTAGAGCAGTTGCGACAGGTATGGGGGACTTGATTGTGGTGATAAAGAATAGAAGAGAGAAGAAAGACATGCCTAGAGAGGAGAGTTGGTCTAGGTGAAAGACCCGTCTGGGTTATGGTAATTGAGTGATAATACTATAACGAAAATGGACCCTTGGCTCCTTTAGTGGATTTTGGTTAATGATCAGCATGATCATTTGGACTAATATCATTTGTTAGTGTTTTTGGGATAGTTCAAAAGGTGCAAAAGTGGCTTAAACTTAGGCAAAGTGATGATTCAGATGATCAACGCCGCAAACAAGACATTAGAAGCTAACACCGTTCATGAGTGGACATGCTCTCTGCCAAAATAGACCTCTTGCCGTCAACGCGATTGAGTCCCTCAACATATGCATGCACCCATGTAGGAGGAGACAGGGACGCTGTCACGGCCATGGGGCGGCGATGGTAGGATGCAAGCGCACTGCTGGAGGCCTACAGAGCTGAAGAGGAAGTACAAGAAGGCGAGCACGTGGAAGGAGACAATGTCGGAGTCTGCGTGGTCTCATTAGCGCCGCGGTTGGCCATGCGGCTGGTGCCGTCGGCAAGCCTTGAGGAGGGCCACCACGCCAGGCACAGGAAGGCAGCGAGAGTGAGGAGGGAGTTCACACATTCACGATGCCGTTCAGCGTGGTGACGTGGATGCTAGTGCGCCCTCAACCGCCTTCGCTTGTCACGATGTCGCCCTCTGTGCAGAACCCGTGAAACCACAAACCAACCCAATCCAGCGATTCATCGAGCCAGCATTGAAACTGCTGGAAACCAACCCAGCCCGTTCCATATGCTACACACGCGGGTAGGGTCCGAAATTAACGAGAACCCGGGAAACCAGACCATGTACAGGCCTTGAGCAGGTCCCAGCTGGAAATTGAACTGGCATCTTGAAATCAATTCGGATGTCACGCCATGTTCCTGTGGCCAGGGCGGATCTCTAGATCAATGTCCGAGGCGGACACGCCATGTTGTGCGAAGCTGACCTCTCCAGCACAGTTTATATATAGTGCTATTAATAATCCAAGCCTATTGTCCCGAAAACATTGAGGTCATGGATAGCAACACTAGCCTCCTGTCTGGTTTAGATGACGAGGCTCGTCCCACCATGTGCAGCTTATTGGTCATCATCTCTTTCTTGGTGTTTCTCATACCAGCTTGCTTCATGTCCTACGAGCTTTTCGTAGCCCTCCACAACGCCGGGAGGATGAAGTTCTCCTTGGAACCCATCGCCTACACCGGTCTCGAATCGGCCGGAGACGTTGCCCTGTTCGCTTCGGCTTGTTTGGCTGATAAGTCATGGCTGAAAGTACTGTTGACTGATTTGGTGTGAGAGAAAAATACTATTCGTTGGCTAAAAAAGTACAGTTTATAAGTCAAACAAGCCCAAGCGAACATGTGGTTGTGCGGCCATCGTTCAACATTACACTACGCGCTAAAAGCACTTACAGTTGGGTCAAGGTATGCAGCAACGGACGAGCAACGATGGAGGTGACCTACTCTGGCGTGACATTGGCGATGACTGATGTCGAGCGGTTCTGCCTAGACCCCAAGCGAGAGAAGGCCATCACTGTATCTGCGTCTCCAGGATGGCCCGTTCTTCCTAGCGCCTTCATGGAGCAAATGGAGACTGACCGGTAGAACGGTGGGATTCAGATGGAGATCGACTTTGGCTTCCGAAAGGTGGAGCAAGCTCAACCATATGACCAGGTAGATATGTTGGTGCGGTGCCCCGCTACGTTGGATGCCGATCAGCCTGCAACATTATGCAAATCCTACATTATCACGAGTTGCTGCTAACGTGTCCAAAGAACATACAACTACAGACCTGCAGCAACTTGCATTGTATTCATGCACGCCACTATCTTTCGTGATGCGCTATGCATTTTCAATACTGTAACTTAATTTAGATATTTTTAGCTTTATTTATCTTTATCTTTACCTAACATTAAAGAGCGATGTGTTTCTTCTACCCATTTTATTTTATTCCCACAATACCCCTTGGTTTCTTAAGTCGCCTCTAGCCTGCGTTTGATTTTCTCCCCCTTGACATGGATGCACTGTCAGCCCCACACGCCGGCTAGATGTATCTTCTGTTGTTCTTTAAGCATCAATCCAAGTCCAGACTGGCATGGTTGAGAACACCAGCGATCAACAAACACCAACGACTGTCCCCGAATCTGTCTATGACAAAACAAAAAAGTTTGAATCAGATCACCTTTCCTGATCGACCTGGACACAGCAACATCCCTAGCGGCTACTAAAAATCAAATACCGAAACTGATTTATATCAAAAAATCAAATCAAATCAATGAACAAAAGCACCCAATCAAACAATTAATAAATTTCTCAAGCGATTTAGACCCTCGAAACAAAACAAAGAAAAGAACAAATCAAGAATCGGGCAAGAGGCGGACACAACGCGGCAACAACCTGCAGATGACTCCTCCTGTCCTCCCCCACCCGCAAACCACGCTTGGCAAGCACTTGCGTCGCCCAAAACCCGAGCCGCCAGGAACAGGCACGGTCCTACGCCGCGGCTAGTCGCCGTTCAATGTCTGCCACTGTCTGACTGCTGACGCCGACCCTCCCGCTCCTCAACATCAACACCGCCATCTTCAAGGATGACGCGAGTCAGAAGCACAAGCAGCTGCTGCCGTCAGTGTCGGAGTTGACGCACTTCGGGCCATCGCATGAACTCAGGATGTGCATCTCGCCTCACTTTGCGGGACTGCTGGAGCTGCAGCTCGGCCCTCCTCGGTAGGACCAGCAGCCACTGCTCGCCTCGTCGCGTGGGCATCCAGAGCCATTGCTCGCTTTGTCGCAGAGCGGTGCTTGTCCAGCTGTCGTGCCCGCACCACGGGCCTCCGCTCGGCCCAGCCGCCGGCACAAGTGGGTGCTACTCAGGTGAAGGGATTTTGGCAATTCTGCCTCCATGGGAAACTGGATTTGATGAATTGTCATGGCTCCAAGTGGGCCATCCTTCCGATTGGTTTCGCTCATTTAATCTCTATCTCTACAACAAAAAATTACCAAAGGGAATCGATCACCTGGCTTTCACCTCGACTCCCCTTGCGCTAACTTCACTCGGCTTGGACGGTTTCAACTCCCCCCACGCATGACCCGGTGCTCCCACGTGCGCGGTGACCCCGGTCCCCTCACTCCAACGTGACAAGATCCCGGCGCTCCCTCGCTCATTCACACAAAGATCCCGGCTCCGATCATCGATCCGTCTTTCCCATTTCTCGCTCCAACACAAAAGGAAAGATCAATCCTCTCCCCCGTAATTCTCGTCATTCACCTGGCTCCCTCGCGATCCGTCCGCCGCCCGGTGCCCTTGGCCTCGCAAGCCCTCGCCTTCGGCCTCGTGCTGCCGACAGCCCTCGCCTTGCCCGAGCGATTCGTCCACCGCTCGGTGCCCTCGCCCGCGTGACGCCCTCGCCTTTGGCCTCACGCCGCCGCCAGCCATCGCCCTCGCCTGCGCGCCTCTCCCCGCCCATGCCCTCGCTCGCGCGCTCACCCACCTCGAGTCATTGGCGAATACCGCACGCTGATCTTGGAGTTGTTTTGCAGAAGTATCAATACTCCCTTGTGCAGCAGCTCGCAAGAGTGTCGTGTTGCAGCTGCAGCCTACTCGATCCACTCCCTCGGGTGAGTCCCTAAACCATTAATGCTTATGGGTGGGGATTTGAGATATTATGTGCCTGGACTATTATTCAAACTCAGGGATTTCCCAAACCATCGATGCTTAT